ACTGTTGCTAAATCCAGGTAGAGAAACACTCCAGCTTCTAAGATTTTTGTTGGTAGTTTCAGGGCCTCCCTGCTCAATCTCCTACATGGATTAGGCAGTTATGGTAAATGAGTGAAGTAGAAATGTGTAAGAAGGACAACTGGGCACGTGTTCTGACAAATGGTACCTGGATTTGGTTTTAGTATTTATCATAATAAGGACATTAATTTCATCGTGGAGCTTCTACCCTCATGAAATTAAAAGATGCTTGCTCCTTGGAGGAAAAGCAATGACAAACCTAGGCATCGTATTAAAAAGCAGAGACATCACTTTGCTGACATAGGTCCCGATAGTCAAAGATATAGTTTTTCCAGTAGTCATGTACAGATATGAGAGTTGGACCATAAAGAAGGCTGAGCACTGAAGAATTGATACTTTCCAATAGTGGTGCTGGAGAAGACTCTTGAGAGTCCCTTGGACTGCAAGGAGATCAAACCAGTCAATTTTAAAGGAAATCAGCCCTGAATATTCATTGGAAGGATTGATGCTGAAGCTAAAGCTCCAATACCTTGGCCACCTGATGTAAAGAGCCGACTCATTGGAAAAGACCCTGATGCTGGGAAAGAGCCAGGGCAGGAGAAGAAGGGGGCGACAGAGGATGAGATGGTTGGATGGCATCACTGACTCAATGGACATGAGTTTGAGAAAACTGCGGAAGACAGTGAAAAACAGGGAGGCCTGATGTGCTGCAGTCCATGGGGCCACAAAGAGTGGCACACGACTTAGTGACTGAACAACAACAAATAATAAAAAGAAAGAACACTGTGCGCACTCTCTCTCAATCCCCTACAGGAAGACACAGTGAGACGGTGGCTGTCTGCAAGCCAGGAAAAGCCTTCTCACCAGGGAACTGAATCGGCCAGCTGCTTGATCTTGGACTTTTCAGCCTCCAGGACTGTGAGAAATAAATTCCTTTTGTTTAAGCCTCCCAGATTTGGTATTTCATTATGGCAGCCTGAACTGACTAAGACACTGGTCCTTATTTCTTTCTACAGCAGGTTTTGGTCATTTTTATTGTATATTAATGGGCATCAGAGAAGGACTTGCCAAAAAGCATGAACATATGTCAGCAGGTTTCCCAGAAGTCCATGGAAGGGTTGTGAGCTGCGACATTGAAGGCAAGTCTTGTGGGGAGGTGTGGGGCAGTTTTGGGTGCTGAGACTGAGTAGGTGCAGGTGTGCGGGCCTGGCAGTGAGGGGCAAGGCTGTGTTAGGCACATCCGAGATCATTCCAGCTCCAGTTGACCTGATGGGGAAAACAAAACAAAGCAGACTGTTGACTTGCTTAACCTGAAGATCTCTGAAGTATATGCGCTTTGGGCTTCCTGAGGGCTCAGCGGGTAAAGATAACCACCTGCAATGCAGGAGACACAGAAGACTCAGGTTTGACCCCTGGGTCAGGAAGATCCTCTGGAGAAGGAAGTGGCAACCCATTGGAGTATTCTTTTTTTCCTTTTAAAAATCTATTTAAAATAAATGAAATTTATTTATTTTTAATTAAAGGATGATTGCTTTACATTATTGGTTTCATTTCTGCCATACATCAACATGAGTTAGCCATAGGTGTACATATGTCTCCTCCTTTTGAACCTCCCTCCCACCTCCCACCCCTTCCCACCCCTCTAGGTTGTTACAGAGCCCCAGTTTGAGCTCCCTGAGTCACAGAGCAAATTTCCATTGGCAATCTGTTTTACATATGTTAGTGTATATGCATCCATGCCACTCTCTGCAATTCCATAAATGTGTCTGTGTCCATCAATCTGTTCTCTATTTCTGCATCTCCAGTGCTGCTCTGTGAATAGATTCATCAGTACCATCCTTCTAGATCCCATATATATGTGTTAATATATGATATTTGTTTTCATCTGTCTGACTTACTTCACTCTGTATCACAGGCTCTAGGTTCATCCACCTCATAAGAACTGACTCAAATGCCTTCCTTTCCATGACTGAGTAGTATTCCATGGTGTATATTAGTTTTTTGTTTAAAAAATCCCCTGCACAGAGGAGCCTGGGAGGCTGTTGTCCAAAGGGGTGAATACAACTGAGTGACTAAATGCACACACACATGCCATGGCTTCAGACACTGAGGGCTTTGGAACTTGGTCAATGTCACCAAACTCCTTAAAAAAATAATAATAACGGGGGGTGGGCTTCCGTGGTGGTCCAGTGGTTAAGAATTCACCTTGCAATGCAAGGCACACAGGTTCGATCTCTGGTCTGGGAAGATCCCACATGAGGAGGAGCAACTAAGCCCATGTGCCAGCACTGCTGAGCCCCGACGCCAGAGCCTATGCTGAACTACGGGAGAGAAGCCAGGGCAGTGAGGAGCCCGCACACCGCGGTGAAGAGGCTCTGCGCTTGCCACAACTAGAGGAAGTTCTTGTGCAGCAACAAAGACCCACCATGGCCAACAAATAAACAGGTCTTTTTTTTTCTCCTAAAGAGCATAGGGAAATATATAATATGTTAAAAAGAAGTCGTTAACCCTGTAGCTTTGCTGGCCTTGTTCTCAGGCAGGCTCTCCCCACATACTCAGCTCTGAGGACCTCCGATCCAGACTCTTCCTTCCCTAGAGATGTTGGCGACTGAGCAGCACCCTGTGGGGCCTTCCTGGGAGAGACCCTCGCCCACACCCTCTGCTCTAGCCCCTTTCTGAAGTACCCAGACAGCAGGATCTCATCCATGCGTGCGTTAAGTGCTAAGTCATTCCGTCACGCCCGACTCATGGCGACCCGATGGACTGTAGCCTGCCAGGCTCCTCTGTCCATGGGATTCTCCAGGGGCTACTGGACTGGGTTGCCATTTTCCCCTCCAGGGTGTCTTCCCGGGTTTTTTCAGATACTAAAAACCGCCACCAAAGGGAAGAAATTAACTACTTGAAGATTAGGAGCAAGTAGGCCCCAGACCTTATGACACCTAAGTATTGATCACCATCAACCGATCAGAGAATTGTGCATGAGCTGATCACATACCCTGGGCAACCTTCCTTCACTTGGCCTTTAAAAATGCTTTGCTGAAACCCTTTGTGGATTTCAGGGGGTTTTTGAGCACAAGCCACCTATCTTCTTCTATGGCCCTTCAGTAAACCTTTTTCCCTTCAAACTCCGATACTTGACTGTTCCTCAGACAGGCAAACTTGTTTTCAGTAACAAGGTTACAGGAAAATTTCCTCTTCTGTTCCAAATCATGGTCCTTCTTTCTACAGGTTGTGACTTCTAGATGCAACTTCCTTCCAGATAAAAACTGATCTTATCTGTGTTCCCGCCTCTGACAGATGAATCAGAGCCTGGGGTAAGATAATGACGTAATCACAGGGTGTTCCAGAACTGTGTCCTTGGGCTCTCTAATCAAAAGAAATTGATGACAGGCCAGAGAAGAAATTCAGGGCAGGCTTTATTGAGACTCCGAGGTGGGGCGAGCTGGTCCCTTAAATGGGATGGGGGTGGGTGGATCAGTGTGTGGGGCCAGAGGCATGGTTTGGGTGGTCTGCCCAGGCCCTCAGGGGTGCTGTGTGAAGGGATCAGGCCCAGTACCTTGTTTTTGCTCCCTACACTGCAGAAGGGGCAGTTAGGTTTTGGTCTTTTTGTATCTTATTGCTCATAATTAGCACCAACTGCAGATGCGTGGAGTTATTTTCAGTCCCTTATAGTTTCTTTGTATTTTGTCACTCTGGGAGACATTTGTCCAGGTACAAGCACTGCCATAAAGGGTCCTGGGTCCCAGTCTGTCTCAAGGGCAGGGTCTTGACCTTCCAGCCTAGCGATGCTTCTGCCCTCCTTGCTAATGACCGGGTACCCTGAAGGTGGGCGAGGTGGGGTGTGGGGCTGGCCCTGCTCTGGTCTCTGTCCCCTAGACAGAGCCTGGGAGTGTGCAGAAGCTCTGTATCCCCAAAGTCTTAATTGAATGAACAAGTGCCAGTGCCAGGTTCTGTCCTAAGCAGGTGACAGACGTGAACTCATTTAATCGGCATTTCTGCTAGTGTCTCTGTTTTTCAGATGCGCAAACTGAGGCACAGAGTGGCGAAGTAATTCTGGGAAAGTTGAACAGGTGGCAGGTGAAGTGGCAGATGTCTGGGTTCCCAACCGGACACTCTATGCCCTCAGCTTCTGCATTCCAAACACCGGGCTGCTCAGGTCTGCTTTAACCGTCAACAGCAGGACCAGAATTTGAGCCTGCCCGGGACTAGGGCACTGATGGGAATGGTGAGAACTATTGTGGTTCAAACCATGGTGCGAACTCCAAGGGGTCAGGAGGCTCCAGGCTCGCGGTGGGGACCGTATCTCAGGGGATCTAGACACACTTGTCCCTGAGATCTCAGCGTCTCTCCTGAGTCGGGGGCAGCCCTCCGTCTCCTGGATGCTCAGCCTGGGCTCCTCCCCACACCTGATCATGAATTTGCCTCTGGACGTCTCAGGGGCTCTGATCCCCGGGGAGCTAGCCAGGTGACCCTCCACCCCACCCCGTGTAGAAAGCGCAGTACACAGGGAAAGCACGGGCAGCGGCGGGACCCTGGGAGTCTCCAGCCTCATGTTTTAGGCTCACAGTTTGCAGGTGCAAATGAGAGAGGTGGGGAAACGAGATTTCTCAGACATCCCCCGCCCCCCGTCTGTGGTACCCAACTTCCCCTTCTATGGATCTTAAGAGCTCTCTCTCTCTGTCACCTTCTGGCTTCCTGTTGGGGCTTCCTCATTCTCTCCCCACATTCGGGGTGCTTCCCTCCCCAGCAGAGGGACCTGAAGCGGCTCTGTACTGGCGGATGCCGACATGGTGCCCCTGCTGCTGCTGCCCCTGCTGTGGGGGGGTGAGTGGGGGAGGGGTGGGGGATGGGGTCATGGCTGGGGGAGGGGGGCACGCGTGGGGAAGGGCTGGAGCTGCCGCTGAGCCTCTGTGTCCCCCAGGGTCCCTGCAGGAGCTTCCAGGATTTGAGCTGCGAGTGCAGGAATCCGTGAAGGTGGAGGCATGCATGGACATCCGCGTGTCCTGCTACTTCTCCTACCTCTGGTATCCCTGGTATCCCTCTATGGAACCCCTCATCTACTGGTTCCGGGAAGGAGACAGCCTACACGTGATCCTGTGGCCACCAATGACCCAAGCGGACGAGAGAAGCCAGAGTGCCGGGGCCGATTCCGCCTCGTCGGGGACCCCAGCAACAACGACTGCTCCCTGATCATCAAAGGGGCCAGGCTGAGCGACTTAGGAGTCTACTACTTGCGAATGGAGAGAGGACCTGAAGTGAAATATACTTACAGAAATAAGCCGAATTTGCTGGTGACAGGTACGGCAGGGGGCCCAGGAGTGGACCCTGGGACGTGGGCACCTTCCTGTTAGAACAGGAACAGGACGTAGGACCACTCCCTGCTCCAGGTCTTGGGGTTCTGGGTTCAGGAGAGACCCAGGACTGGGGGTGAGCTGTGGCCATGAAGCACGGGTCCCTCTGAGGGTCCCCCTCTGTGTCCTCACACCCTGGGAGCAAGGAATCTCCCTCTGTCTCCTCCTCAACCTCAGCAGAGAAACATGACATCCAGTTTGTGGAGCCTCTGGAGGCCGGTTACCCCACAAAGCTGACCTGCAAACTGTCAGTACCCTGTGCTGGGCGACAACCTCTCCTGTTCTCCTGGGCGGGGGACGCCCTTGACGAGATGGACCCAGGGACCCTCCACTCCTCGGAGCTCACCCTCACCCCGAGGCCCCAGGACCACGGCTCCAACCTCACCTGTCGGGTGACACTCCAGGAAGCACAGGTGACCCTGGAGACAACCATTCGGCTCAATGTCTCCTGTGAGTGTGGAGGAGCGGCGGGGCCCCTGGGGGCGGTGTTGGCAGGAGGCTGGTGGCGTTCTCGCATCCCTTTCCAGAAGAGATTGGGGCAATAAAGCCCTGTCCTCTCAGGTGGCTCCTAGGGTGGAACACTGATGCCTCCCTGCCTTTCCTATTTTCCTCCCAGATGCTCCACAGTTGGTGATCATGAGAATATCTCAGGAAAGCTTCACAGGTAGGAAGGATGGTCTCCCCTCTGGGGCTGTGATGGGAGCAGGTCTCTGCCAGCTCAGGGCTCAGGGCTTGGAGATGAGACTGTCCCTCACTTCTCAGCCCCCAAGCTCTGAACCTGTCCTCCTCTCTCCCCAATGTCTTGCATCCATGGACTATTACTTTTACCTGCTCCCTTTCCTTTTATTCTGTTTAAAATTTTAGTTTTAACTGTGAGAAAACACACACGATCAAAGTTACCGTCTTCACTACTTTTAAGGGTAGCTCTCAGTAGGGTAAGGTCCACTGACAGTCTTGTTCCACCCATCCACAGAGCTCTTCCCAATTGGCAGGACCGAAACGCCAAACCCATCAGACACCGCCCCCTCCCCCTTCAGCCCCTGGCCACCAGCTTTCCACTTTTAGTGTTTGTGATTTGGAATACTCTAGCTTCCGCTTTTATTTTAAAAAAAAGTTTCTGTCTGTCATCACCTCCTATGATAGGAACCCTCCTTCAGCTCTGATGTCATCATCTTTCAGAGGGACTCATGTTCCCATTGCCCACAGCTCTACCCTGGACCCCATTCCAACCTCTCTTTACCTTCCTGCGTGGACTCCTCCCATCCCAAGTCTCCACTTGCGGTCGTGGCCCCATCCTGACCCACTCTGTCCTGTCCCTACTCTGTACATCCAGAGACGTTCTTCATGTTTAGCCACCTCTTGCTGATGCCTGTCAACTGCACCCTGTGCCCCCATTAACCGGGCTGTGGTTGGACAGCCCTCTACCCATCTCCCTTTCTCACCGGCTGCACCCATGACTCAGGGACTCTGCAGAGCTTCACTGCTCAAATCACTTCCCCCTTTCCATGCCCTTGGCCCCAGAGCCAGCTGCAGGCTTGTCGTGGACCCTGGGCCACTGATCAGCCTCCTCCCTCAGCCTCCCGGCCTCCAGTCTCATCTCCAGTCCAGGCCCCACTCGGCCCCAGCGGGGTCCTGTGAGAGTCGGCGCCCAACGCCGAAGCTTCCCCTCCTCACTGGCTCCTACTGCTTGCCCGTCACCTTGGAGCAAAGCCCAGCGCTCTCGGGCCTGCTGTCCGGGCTCCAGCACATCTGCCCCTCCCTTCTCTCTCCCACTCTTATCGTGTCTCTGTTGCTCTGGGTCCTCTCTGCCGCGATGCAGACACACGTGTCTTTCTCCCCATCTTCCGGGCTGTCTCTCTCTTGGCACATCTTCCCGTGAGCTTCCCACCCACTTCGCTCCCTTCCATCCTCAGACCAGCTCCCATTTCTCCGGAAGGCTGACAGGACCACCAGGACTGTTGGCTCATCGGCCCCAGTGAGCTCATCCTTGGTGCTGTCTCCCGGCCCCGTCTTTCTGCGTCAGGAAGGGGGCGGAGCGAGGGTGAGACAGCCCTTGGCTCCACCCACTCATCTGAGCATCTCTCACCCAGATCTGAATGGCACGTCACTGCCCATCCTGGAGGGCCAGTTCCTGCGCCTGGTCTGTGTGGCCGACAGCAACCCCCCTGCCAGGCTGAGCTGGCTCTGGGAGGGGAAACCCCTGAGCCCGTCCCAGCGCTCAGCCCCCGGGGTCCTGGAGATACCCCGCGTGGGGGTCGGGGATGGAGGAGAAGTCACCTGCCGAGCTCAGCACCCGCTGGGCTCCCAGCAAGTTTCCTTCAGCCTCTCTGTGCAGAGTGAGTTGCAGGACAGGTGCTGGGGGCGGGCAGCCGGGGCAGGTGTGTGCCTTTGGGAGGGCTGGGTCTGGGGACTGAGCTTCACCCCCTCTCCCTTCGCCAGAAGGCCCCCCTTCCTGCAGCTGTGAGACTGAGGAGCCGCAGGGCTCCTGGCCCCTGGTCGTCACCCTGATCAGAGGGGCCCTCATGGGGGCTGGCTTCCTCCTCACCTATGGCCTCACCTGGACCTACTACACCAGGTGAGCTCACCTGTCCCCCTGCGGGGAAGTCCTGGGAACGGCTCGGAGTTGTCGGCTGGGCTGGGCAGTCCTGTCCTGCCTGGAGCTAAAGTGTGTGACTCTCCAGGGACTTCGGTGTCGATTCAGTGGTTGAGCCTATGAGTTTCCACTGCAGGGGGCAGGGGCTCGATCCCGGGTTGGGGAACTAAGATCCCACATGCCATGAGGCAGAGCCCAGAATGAGTGAAATGGGTCTGACTCTCTGACCTGAGACTGTGTTGACTCTGCAGGTGTGCTGGCCACTCGGGAGCTGGGCTGAGCGGTGTGGCTGAGCCTCGCTCCCTGTTATGAGGAGATTCACCTGAGGATGCAGAGCCCAGAGGACAGATGTGGGGACATCACTGTCTGCTTCTCCCTGGAAACTCTTGACTCCAAATCTGTCTCATTTCCACCCAGGGGTTTTAAGCTTTTAATTTGTAGATGTGACTGTGTGATGACACAGAGTAAATCCCATTGAAAAGAGACTTTATTACATTCATTTACCAAGAATGCATGGTCCCTCAGTCAGGGCAGGGCCCAGGGGGAAGCACGAGGTTGTGCTCAAGAGGCAGGAGCAGGCGTGGGGAAGCCTTTCTTTGAGTTTCCAAGGGAGAGACAAGGCTTATTGTTGTTGTTCAGGTACTCAGTCATGTCTGACTCTTTGCAGCACAGCATGCCAGGCTTCCATGTCCTTCATCATCTCTCAGAGCTTGCTCAAACTCTTTTTCATTGAGTTGGTGATGCCATCCAACCATGTCGTCCCCTTTTCCTTCTGCCTTCAATCTGTCCCATCATCAGGGCCTTTTCTATTGAGTTGGCTCTGGGCATTAGGTGGCCAAAGTATTGGAGTTTCAGCTTCAGCATCAGTCCTTCCAATGAATATTCAGGATTGATTTCCTTTAGGATGGACTGGTTGGATCTCCTTGCAGTCTAAGGGACTCTCAAGAATCTTCTCCAACACCACAGTTCAAAAGCATCAATTCTTTGGCACTCAGCTTTCTTTATAGTCAATCTCTCACATCCATACACGACTATTGGAAAAACCATAGCTTTGACTATGCAGACCTTTATCAGCAAAGTAATGTCTCTGCTTTTGAATATGCTGTCTAGCTTTGGAAGGAAATATTTAATTTTAATTTAATTCATCATTTAATTTCATGGTTGCAGTCACCATCTGCAGTGACTTTGGAGTCCCACCCCCCAAATAAAGTCTTCACTATTTCCTTTGTTTCCTCATCTATTTGCCATGAAGTGATGGGACTGGATGCCATGATCTTAGTTGTTTGAATGTTGAGTTTTAAGCTAGCTTTCTCACTCACCTCTTTCACCTTCATCTAGAGGCTCTTTAGTTCCTCCTCACATTCTGCCATAAGGGTGCTGTCATCTGCATATCTACGCTATTAATATCTGTCCCAACAATCTTCATTCCAGCTTGTGCTTCATCAAGCCCGGCATTTCACATAATGTACTCTGCATATAAGTTAAATAAGCAGGGTGACAATATACAGCTTTGATATATTCCTTTCCCAATTTGGAACCAGTCTGTTTTTCCATGTCCAGTTCTAACTGTTGCTTCTTGACCTGCAAACAGATTTTATAGGAGGCAGGTAAAGTGGTCTGGTATTTTCATCTCTTTATGAATTTTCCACAGTTTGCTGTGATCCACACAAAGGCTTTAGTGTAGTCAGTGAAGCAGAAGTAGATGTTCTGGAATTCTCTTGCTTTTTCTATGATCCAGTGGATGTTGCCAATTTGATTTCTGGTTCTCTGCGTCTTCTAAATCCAGCTTGAACATCTGGAAGTTCTCAGTTCACATACTGTTGAAACCTAGCTTGGAGAATTTTGAGCATTACTTTGCTAGCGTGTGAAGTAGTGCAATTGTGTGGTAGTTTGAGCATTATTTGGCATTGTGCTTCTTTGGGATTGGAATGAAAACTGACCTTTTCCAGTCCTATGCCTACTGCCGAGTTCTCCACACTTGCTGGCACATTGAGTTGAGCACTTTAACAGTTTTACCCACAGTCAATCCCTCCCATCAGGAAGCTTGCACAAGTCTCTTATCCTCATCCAGCAGAGCGCAGACAGAATGAAAACCACTTACAGAGAACTAACCAAACTGATCACATGGATCACAACCTCGTCTAACTCAGTGAAACTATGAGACATGCATTGTAGGGCCACACAAGACAGACGGGATTTGGTGGAGAGTTCTGACAAAACGTGGTCCTCTGAAGAAGGGAATGGCAAACCAATTCAGTATTCTTACCTTGAGAACCCCATGAACAATATGAAAAGACAAAAAGATAGGACACTGAAAGATGAACTCCCCAGGTCAGTAGGTGCCCAATATGCTGCTGGAGAAGAGGGCAGAAATAACTCCAGAAAGAATGAAGAGATGGAGCCAAAGCAAAAGCAACACCCAGTTATGGATGTATCTGGTGATGGTCCAATGCTGTAAAGAGTAATATTGCATGGGTACCTGGAATGTTAGTTCCATGAATCAAGGTAAATTTGAAATAGTTAAATGGGAGATGGCAAAAGTGAACATCAACATTTTAGAAATCTGTGAACTAAAATGGACTGCAATGGGTGAATTTAATTCAGGTGACCATTACATCTGCTACTGTGGGGAAGAATCCCTTAGAAGAAACGGAGTAGCCATCATAATCAACAAAAGAGTCTGAAATGCAGAACTCAGGTGCAATCTCAAAAATGACAAAATGATGTCATTTTGTTTCCAGGACGAACTATTCAGTATCGCAGTAATCCAAGTAATCCAAGTCTATGCCCTGACAGTAATGCTGAAGAAGCTGAAGTTGAATGGTTCTATGAAGACCTACAAGACCTTCTAGAACTAACACCATAAAAGATGCCTTTTCATCAGACGCCATTCCAGAGGGGACCAGAATGCAAAAGTAGGAAGTCAAGAGATACCTGGAGTAACTTCAAGGCAAGTTTGGCCTTGGAGTACAAAATGAAGCAGGGCAAAGGCTAACAGAGTTTTGCCAAGAGAAGGCACTCATCATAGCAAACACCCTCTTTCAACAACAGAAGAGACCGCTCTACACATGGACATCACCAGATGGTCAATACTGAAATCAGATTGGTTATATTCTTTGCCTCTGAAGATGGAGAAGCTCTATACAGTCAGCAAAAACAAGACCAGGAGCTGAGTGTGGCTCAGATCATGAACTCCTTATTGCCAAATTCAGACTGAAATGGAAGAAAGTAGGGAAAACCACTAGACCACTCAGATATGACCTAAATCAAATCCCTTACGATTATACAGTGGAAGTGACAAAGATTCAAGGGATTAGATTTAATACACAGAGGGCCTGAAGAGCTATGAACGGAGGTTCATAACATTCTACAGGAGGTGGTGATCAAAACCATCCCCAAGAAAAATAAATGCAAAAAAGGAAAATGGTTGTCTTACAAATAGCTGAGAAAAGAGGAGAAGTAAAAGGCAAAGGAGAAAAGGGAAGATATACATCTGAATGCAGACTTCCAAAGAATAGCAAGGAGAGATAAGAAAGCCTTCATAAGTGAAGAATGCTAAGAAGCAGAGGAAAACAATAGAATGGGAAACACTAGAGAGCTCTTCAAGAAAGTTAGAGGTATCAAGAGAGCATTTCATGCAAAGGTGAGCACAATAAAGAACAGAAATGGTATGGACCTAACAGAAACAGAAGAGATTAAGAAGAGGTGGCAAGAATACACAGAAGAACTATACAAAAAAGATCTTCATGACCCAGATAATCACGATGGTGCAGTCTATCGACTAGAGCCAGACATCTTGGAGTGCAAGGCAAGTGGGCCTTAGGAAGCACCACTACAAACAAAGCTAGTGGAGTTAATGGAATTCCAGCTGAGCTATTTCAAATCCTAAAAGATGATGCTGTGGAAGCGCTGCACTCAATATGCCAGTGAATTGGAAAACTCAGCAGTGGCCTCAGGACTGGGAAAGGTCAGTTTTCATTCCAATCCCAAAACAGGAGGCAAGGCTGAGAGGGGAGAATTCTTTAGGATCTTCTCCTGTGAATGATTCTTTTGGCCTCTGGGTTGAAGGGGTGACCTTCAGTAGCTATTGTCTGTAGTGGGTGATTTAGGTTAAAGGAAATAGTGAGTTTGGGACTGAGGGGTGGATCAAAGGGGGTGATTGGGCATTATGGGGTGTGGGTTGGTTGGTTTTCATTTGCAGGATGAGGTCTTGTTAGAGCCCTTTTCTGTTTCTAAGAATTGGCTGACCCTTGGAGGCAGTGCCCTTTATGGGCCATCAGGATTTTTAAGATGTGAAATCATCATAAGGAATAGAAAATAAAATATGGTTATTGAACACACCGCCCCCCACCCACTACTGCCTCCTCATGTTTCTGAAGTCCGCTCACCATCTACTACCTGCTTCTGCTCTTGGTCCTGCCTGAACCCGCCCCTCCTGCCCTGATCCTCTCCCTCCATGTCAAGCTCTACATGACCTTCTCCCCTCATGACCCAAAAGTGACCTGGTTAACACCTGAGTTTCTGGTCTTCAACTTCCCTATCAATGTGGAGGTCCACACAGAGTAGAATCAGTAACACAGTTTTTCTTTCTGGTGTCAAGTCACCTACTTCTTCATTACTGGTATAAATTATCACAACATTCATAATTAAGCAGTTTATTAAGCAATATACAAATATGAAAATCAATCTTATCATTTGGTTTTCTTGTGAGACTTTTTAAAGCAAAATAATCTCTTATTGCACCAATATTTTTGGTTGATCTGTTTCAAACATGAAGTTTTCCTGTTTATTTTTGATGCCTACCTTAAATTGAGCAAGGTTGCAGTTCTGAAGGGTACAGTTGGATGGAGGTTTATGTATATACACTACATGCAGGTCAAGAAGCAACAGTTAGAACTGGACATGGAACAACAGACTGGTTCCAAATAGGAAAAGGAGTACATGAAGGCTGTATATTGTCACCCTGCTTATTTAACTTATATGAAGAGTACATCATGAGAAACGCTGGGCTGAAAGAAGTACAAGCTGGAATCAAGATTGCCAGGAGAAATATCAATAACCTCAGATATGCAGATGACACCACCCTTATGGCAGAAAGTGAAGAGGAACTAAAAAGCCTCTTGATGAAAGTGAAAGAATAGAGTGAAAAAGTTGGCTTAAAGCTCAACATTCAGAAAACTAAGATCATGGCATCCAGTCCCATCACTTCATAGCAAATAGATGGGGAAACAGTGGAAACAGTGGCTGACTTTATTTTTCGGGGCTCCAAAATCACTGCAGATGGTGATTTCAGCCATGAAATTAAAAGACGC